CATCAAGTGATTCGATACTATTACAACTTAATAGACATGTACGCAAAGATGTACGTGTGTGTGTATGTGTAATCCTAATTGTGTTATTGTGATGAATAGGAAGAAGAAGAAGGAGAAGAAAAATAATACACATTTTGAACAAGAGATAAGATAATTTTAAAGATAGTACATAATAAATATAGAACTTACATTATTTTTTTGTAATGGTTAACCACATGCTGAGAACTGATGAATGGTATCTATTTGTTGTATGTTCAATGACTGTTATTTTTGGACTGATTAACAGTTACAATTATTACATTATTTTCTAGTTAATTAATTCTTTTATTTCTTTTCTCTTAACTGTTTCATTATATTAAATGAAGTGAACAAGTGAACTCAACAATGAAATTTTACATTTACTTATAAGCAAAGATGGATAGTGGTTAGTAGTGAAGTCCAGGACGTGCGTTTCGTCTTATTTGGGACTTGTTAACTGGATGTACCTGCATCTCAGAGTTGATGTTCACTCTGAGACTTGAACCAAGTACCATTCACGTCATACACCATCGCGTTATCCATTCAGCTACTGAATCCAATAACAGACTGATCAATTGCAGTCTTAAACCTCAATGGGAAGATCCAAGCAAAACAATATCAAGTGAATTTATATTCACTTTATTATTGAAAGCAGCATATTTACAACTTAGGAACATCTGGAATTCAAAGCAACTGTCAACCAACACCAAGGTCACAATTTTCAATACAAATGTCAAAACAGTTCTACTGTATGGGGCAGAAACCTGGAGAACTACGAAAGCCATCATCCAGAAAATACAAGTGTTTATTAACAATTGTCTACACAAAATACTTCAGATCCATTGGCCGGACACTATTAGCAACAACCTACTATGGGAGAGAACAAGTCAGATCCCAGCGGAGGAAGAAATCAGGAAGAAGTGCTGGAGATGGATACGATACACATTGAGGAAAGCACTCAACTGCGTCACAAGATAAGCCCTCACATGAAATCCTCAAGGCCAAAGGAAAAGAGGAAGACCAAAGAACACATTACGCCGAGAAATGGAGATGGATATGAGAAAAATGAACAAGAATTGGATGGAACTAGAAAAGAAGGCCCAGGACAGAGTGGGTTTGAGAATGGTGGTCAGCGGCCTATGCTCCATTGGGAGTAACAGGCGGAAGTAAAGTAAAGTAAGTAAGTAATTATTGAATAGAAAACTAATGAAGTGTTAAGTCTACAAATGATTGTATTAGTGATTGATTAGTTCCAATAAACATGTTTCAAATATATACTATAGTAAATTCTATTTATAACAGAATAATAGTAGAATTCTTGTATTCTATGATTATATGAACTCGTTAGTTGGATGTTCCAGACATATTGCAGGGTTGATGTCCACTCCGAAACTGAAAACTAGTATCGTATGCCTCAAATGCGATCGCGTTATCCACTGTGCTATCGAGCTCAGATAACCATTAGCTTTAGCAATGAGATGAAGCTTAGTTCATTTTTGCGTTGATTGTTTGAATCTTCCCATTAATGTTTAGGACTCCGATTGAATGAATTTCAAATCTGAGATACAGATACATCCAGTTAACGAACCCTAAGTAGAACGAAATTCGTCTCCCGAATTCTACTGCTAACCATCATCCATCTGTGTTTATAATGTTCGTGACTTAAGGCAGTATCTAGGCAATCCGCACAGGATGCACATATGCCAATGAGAGACTAATCAATTGCAATCCTAAACATAAATCGGAAGATTTAAAAAAAAACAATACAAAAATGAAATGACAAATTATGTTTCTACAGAAAGTTAAACCAAATCCTGACTAATAGAGTTCACTCGTTACCATCTCTCACTTACTATTTGAACTAGAAATGTTATTTTTCATATAATTCAATCTTTTAGATTATTGTTCATCATAGAAGAATGATTCTGTCAAATAAATTATCTTCACAGTTGAATTCACGAGATGATCTAAGCTAAACCATCTGCATTATTATAGATGATTATTGTAGTTTAAATTCATTCATCAGAAAGGAGAAACTGAAGTCATGACGGACCTGATGGTCTCTGTGGAATTCAAGCCAGAGTCACCCTATTTCACAGTCTTAGAAGTCACCATTTAATTATTTCGGCCGCGACTAATTTCCTGTCGGACTGGAATATCTTGATCAATAGCTGATGATCAATGCTATGTGTATCAAGTTTTTATTACTGATCAAATTCTATCCATCTAGTTACAACACAGTATTATGTTGAAGTTTTAGGTAGTTGAAAGTAGTCGACATAAGATCCTGTATCCAGATTTCGTTCTGATTGTCTATCGTCAGAAAGATGTAGTACAATCATTCAGGTATATGACGTATTCAAGATTAGAGAGCATCATCATACTGTCTAAAGTTTGATCAAATATTTACAGTTTTAAAATCGAGGAAAGTAGATAAATAAGGAACGTACACGGGAAAGGTTACTGAATAACTAGTAAATCTACACCACAAATGAACATCCACAACTGAATTATACAATTCAAGATTGATAACTTACAATAAATTAATTTTTTGTAAAATAATCCTGTTAATTTGCTTGGTATTGTTTACTTCAATCTTCCTATTGTCGTTTAGGACTGCGATTGAACAGTCTCTTATTGGCATATGTGCATCCTGTGTGGATTGCCTCCATATTGCCTTAAGTCACAAGCTTTATAAGCAAAGATGGATAGTGGCTAGCATTGAAATCCAGGACGCGTGTTCCGTCCTATTTGGGATTCATCAGATGGATGTACCTGCATCTCAGAGTTGATGTTCACTCTGAGACTTGAACCAAGTACCATTCACTTCAAACGCCATCGCGTTATCCACTTAGCTACTGACGAGCCCCAAATAGGAGGAAACGCGCGTTCTGGATTTCACTACTAGCCACTATGTATCTTTGCTTATAATCCTTTTGATAACAGATCTTTTTGGGAAAGTTCAAGAAATCTCGCTTTATTTCTGTCAGACGTTTTAAGAAGACTGTTATAAGTCACTTACTAAGATAAAACAAATAGACAGAATTAATTATAAAATTAACTATTGTCCAATGCTTCTAGGTTTTCCATGGTGGTCTAGCTTTAATCAACTCATAAATTCAACTATTAGATCACTACAATCTTCGCTAAACCCCCTTTTTGATATATATAAGTCCAAGAAGAATTGGTTATTGAATGCAGATTGCTTGTAGTCGGTATTGGATGAGAATTTCAAATATATACTTACATAAAGAATCAAAGAAAAAAGTACATTATTAACCAATTGATTATCTTAGATGAATTAATAATTTCTAATGATTAAAACCTAAAGACTTACTGTATACTAGAAAGCAATACTAAGTTAACTCGTACCAAATTAAAATGGATATCTGCTGCGATATTGTTATCCAGAGAGTTTTTGAATGAAAAATTTAAGTTTCCTCTGTAAGAAATTATCTTCAGATTTTTTTTGAATGTTAATGCTATTTAAAGAGACACTTCCTACATGTGATATCCTTGTGAAGATTAAATTATGGGTAACTTCCGAGAACTATTAATGAACTAATATTATGCATAGATCCCTATCGTGTAACTATTCAGTAACTACATTATGCCTATCTATACTCCTCTTATTATAAGCCTCATTTTGATCTATAGATCATTATTATACGATATACTGTTCTTAATTTATGTTCAACTTATTGATTACAGTTTCCCATGTTCACAGTCACTTTTTGACTTGATCTTGTATAAATGTTATTTCCTATTTTATAGTGTGGTGTGGCCCGTTTGGCTGATATATAAACGAAGTATGTTTGAAATAAGTGATTTACATAGTAGAAGTTGTTATTGGCGTTCTAGACTCAACTGGGACTGCTAAGAGAACAAAGGACCAATAAGGACGCTAAGCTGCTCATACCGATGGAACGTCATTGGTTTGGCACAGTACTAAGATTATATAAGTTTTACTTCAATCGGCGAATAAATTATGTGATGATAAGTCGGCCTTAAAATCACAGCACTACCTATGTAGCAAATACTGATTTTCCAAAATATAAATATATAATGGTTGAATTCATGATTTGACTTAATAAAGACTACCATGGAAAACCTAGAAGCATTGGACAAATGTTTCACGTCAGTATGGGACTGATCAGAAGCGCGCATCTATCATCCCACACCAAAGAGACCTGAACTCAGGACCTCTGCTTTTAGGTGCAAACGTTTAACCTCTAGACCCGGCATCCAACAGTGTTAATATCTAACTACAATCAACGATATTGCTCGACTTTCTTTTCTTCAGTTAGTAATTGCATACAAAAATTATTTCTTCCTGGACGTATATTATGATGGATTATCACATTGTGTGAATAAAAGACGAAATAGGATAACAACAAGTAACCATATCTTTACGTGGCTAATAAACACTGGACACTAATTTGATATAAAGGTATCGTTATAAACTTATTAGTCGAACCTCATCTATGTTGCTTAATACTTTAAGATTTTGTCTTTTACATACAATGGAAGTTATAAAACATCCACATAAATAAAAACTTGAACTTTCCATATTTATTACCTCTTTCCTTACGTTGAGAGGGAAAAGGGCTTTGAAATTATGCTACCATTTCTTTTCCATATTTAGTTTACTCTCAGTAAAACGTTTGTCCAAATTCATCATGAATAAAGTAATTCACTCTATCTAGAAATAACAATAAACAACAATACAGGGAACAAACAAGTTATCCCTGTTCTCTTCACACCCTTCATCCATTATACATTCTTCTATCATATAATCATAGAAACTTTTAATTATGTATTAAAAATCATTCAACTTACCATATTGAGCTTACAAACAAACATTAACACTTGGAATGAGTGAAAATCTCTCTTAAGCACTTTATACATATACATATTTAGATGTAAATTGACTGATGTAGAAATTCGAATGGACAAATATTTCTTGTTTGTTTTTCCTATATCTAATCTTTGTTTTTATGACTCTTGTTATCATTACAGGTTATAGTAGAAGTAGTAATAATGGTATTAGTATCAGTATTAGTATTGGCAATAGTATTATTGTTATTATTATTATTATTATTATTATTATTATTATTATTATTATTAGTAGTAGTAGTAGTAGTAGTAGTAGTAGTAGTAGTAGTAGTAGTAGTAGTAGTAGTAGTAGTAGTAGTAGTAGTAGTAGTAGTAGTATCTTTTACCTTCATCGATAAAAAGAAATGTGTTTATGATCAGTTAATTCTTTTACTATTATTCAATGACAGTCTTATTAAATGAATAAATCTATCGACATATGAATAATTAAATGTGTCCCCTCCCTCTCTCCCTCTCTCTTTCTCGTTCTTCTTTTCTAGCTAATGAATATTCGCAAAAAAGGAGTCATGGATACATAATTTATGGCATAGGCCTTTATATCACATGTTGTAATCATTATATTTTATCGACTGAGTTTCTAAGGCAAATTTACAGATAACTAATTCTAGTTTTCATTTTATTTTATTGAATGTTTAAACCAATTAGTCCCTTTGATAAATTTTGATAATGTAATAAGAAGACGAAGATTATCAGAACTACGTGATGATGATATATTAGCGTGATACGTTGCGAACAATCTGATCATACATATACTTGTCAAGAACATTTATATATAAGTTAAAAGGTCAACTAGACTGGGAATGAGGTAAGAGGAGACAAGGATAATAATAAGAATGAACATAATTTGAAACATAATCACTCTGTATTGTTTTACTTGTATCTTCCCATTGAGGGTCAAGACTACAATTGATAAGTCTGTTATTGGCATATATGCATCCTGTGCGTATGCCTCGATATCGCCTTAATTCACAAGCTTTTATAAGCAAAAATGGATAGTGGTTAGCAGTACAGTCCAGGACGTGCGTTTCGCCCTATTTGAGACTCGTCGGTTGGATGTCTCAAATAGGACGAAACGCACGTCCTGGACTTCACTGCTAACCACTACCCATCTTTGAATAGCAACAGGTTTATCAATATATATTTTTAAATCTAAAACTTATAACGACTGGAATGATAGAATATTTGTAGCTCGAAATGAGAACTTTCAATATATATCCCCTGACCTGGTTTATTTAACTGTAAATCTTTCGTTATCTGTCATTATGTGAAATATTTTTCGAAGTCCTGGATTTACTCAACAAATATTTGTCTTATCTATGATGAAGAACAAAAAATGTAATTCCTGCCTTCAGGGAATATTCAGATATCTTGTCGAATTATCCATTTGTCAATAGAAACTAATTCAATTCAATCATCAATAACAACAAACAATTCATTTAAGTAATACATGTTGGTTGAATATGCTAGTGACTATTACAATTAATTAAATCAGTTTACTATGTTCTGATGTTTAAAGCGCTTAGTAATAAATTCAAATCTTGATGTATGCATAAATGAGAATGGAAATTAATGTAACCAGTCACCGTAGAGCTGAGTAAAACGTTCATTCTAGACTCCTCAACTGTTCACTTTCTAAAACATGTAATCATGTTATAAATGTCGAAAATGTTTAGGTTTTTATTCAGATATTCTATAGGTAAATCGAAACTGATCATGATCAATTGAATATGTTAACCACAGCATAATATAAACCCATACAACAAGAATATATGTAATATCGATGAAACTATAATTTATGGACGACTTGTAAGCGACACTAGATTGACTTTGAGAGTGTCCACCTAATAACTAGGAGCAAAAGAGGGTTATAAATGAGTGCGAGGAATTCAAATTATGATTTACAGTTAATGGTTAAGGTTATGAATTAGATTTAGGGTTTTCATCACGAACTGACATCAGCTATATTGCTAAGACTCTATTTATCCAAATGGATGAGTGAATTTCTCGCTAAAATCCGAGACATGTTATGTTATATGTGATTGGTTCGTCCATAAATTACAGTCTCACCGTAATATCAACAAAAAAACAACAACTAAGGTGTGTAAACGAAACATTTTACAATAGAATCAAAGCTTGTATTAGCTTTTTGTGGCCCGGGATCTGACTCCACTTATATTGTTTGCACGGATGCTGTCGAAATATACATCCTGACTATTCTCAAATATAATTATCGACTTCAGTCACGTTGGTGAGTAACACAATTAAATTCGAATCTCGCGGGGAGTGGGATCATGGATGCGCACTGCTGAGGAGTCCCATACTAGGACGAAACGGCCGTCTAGTGCTTCCAGGTTTCCAATTGATTCACGATCTCAATAAAAAACTTGACAATTTTCACAACCCCTATACTGATAATTAAATGAGTCAAATATGAGAATGGATTTCGAATACGTATATTACGTACATTTGTTGATTGTGAAGCGAAGCGAAAAAAATGACGCACTTTGGAGAAGGCGAGTGAGCAAATTCTATTTAATCAAGCGTGAATCGATATTTATAGTCAAACAAAGGATAAGCAATGTACACACATACGCTCATATAAAAACAGTCAAGAATGATAAGTGAATAATTAAAAAGGTCAAGGTGTAACTCAAGAAGAATGGATAGACCGGCCTATCCAGAAGATAGAATAAGTTATACGGGCTTAACATAGTAACCGACATTACAAGATTGACAATTGCAGTTCACTAGAAATTAAGCTTGCAAAATATTTGAAATCATGGTAATTAATAACTTATGAACTGGTCTATGATATATCCGATAGGATTAGACTACTCTTACAATGTTTCTAATCACTAAATATAGCAACATTTTTATACACTTTGTGATGACGGTCCATGAGTGAACTCGAGGAAGCTCTAAGAAGCTCAGAAAGAGCTAAAGATATTCCATCCGATCATTCTTTGGAAGAATACTACAGAATCTCTACACGTAGCTTCCCTATTGGACAAGTGCTAATAACCCCCTGTATGCGGGTTGGATGACTATAATAATGATTTCGTTTTTACTAAGAACTATAAATGCCTGACAGTTTTGTACCATAAATGAAATTGTTTTGGAATAGCATTCCGTTCACTTGTCTTCTGTCTTCTCATTTGCTACTTGGAGGGTTCTAGCGTGCTCAAGTTATACGCGGTATATGAGGACTCTAAGCTCTAGATATAACACACTTGATATAGAATAATAAAAATGAAGTGTTCATTCATACAAAAAATATTCACTATGAGCCTTTATACTATTAGAACACTTCATTCTTACAAATAATCAGTATATTTTTCATGATTCCATTTTATTATAATGAAACTGTAACTGTAATGGTGTTAATCGCATCTCATGAATGATAATGATATTGTTAAATATAGATTAATACTTGAAGTTAACAATGTTAGATGACCTGATAGAGTTTATTGTATAGAATATGATTGAATACAAATAAGGTTAGAATGAGTTGAACTGAATTGTATTAAATTGAAATGTGTTGAGTTGTATTATATTGTGTTGTGCTGTGTTGATTGAATCTTCACTAAAATGAAGCTGTGACAGAGGGATGACCATATAAGTATGCTTCTTTTACAGAAAGATAACTTGGCAGTAATACTACATCAGATGAACAATATGTTGATAAGCTGATTTCCAAATACTGGTTGATATTGTATGAAAAGCTGTAAACAATGGAATTCAACCAGTTATTCACCACAGGCAATCGAAGATTTTAACATAATATCTTGAATTTATTGAAGTTAGATATGTGCACTAATTGATTCTGTCTTAGTGATCTAGAGTTTAAGCATTCACGTGCGAATCCGAAAGTCTTAGATGTCATTCTCAGATGCGAAGTGGTGAATATATATTTCTGAGGTGTCCCATATTAGAATAGAATCATTGTCCAGTGTTTCAAGGTTCTCGGTGATGGTCTAACTGATATCAGTTCGGGAATCAAACTATGAAAATTCGTCAATCTCCATAAAACATACTATATTCATACTATGTATAAACATTCCATACTGAGCCCCCAAATAACCTGGTATGGCCGAGAGTGAGGAGAGTCCGCCCTCCCTCTCGAAATGCCCTCACATTGCCACGTGTATATAGCCTCTGCCAGGGAAGTCCTACTCACTGCCTTCTCGTGGCGGGGGTGTTGGTTACGAAAGTGGGAAGACGAAAAGCGAATGTCCGGCGCTCCAACCGGATTCCAAACCAATGGTGCACATGGGCTCCAGTATCCTGAGGGAAAAAACAGCGTACGAACCACTTGCTGGTCACCGGCTACCATGGGACTGTATCTCCTCACGATGCTCCACTGCCTCGTGGGTCAGGTTGAGGGCTCCGGGTGTGGCCCCCTAAGATGACCACCTGCTTCGGTTTTGGCACGCGGGTAGTATCACAGCCCTCACACATATCGAATGAGATTTGTGTGGCGCATATGCATTTGGTGCCTCCTTGTACCAATATCTATATGTTAAAATAAATAAATAAATGATTCCATACTGACCGAAATCAGTTGATTTGAATGTTAGTGGACTGTGTGTTATTTGGTTGTAGTATGCTCATTTTCATAGTGACATCAACTTCAGTAAATCGTAATCCAATATCATTGGTTGATCTGTATTCTGAATTTACAATGAATTTCGTCTAGTGGTCAGTTATTTATTATCTGAAATAAACTACATTGAGATGGTGGAAAAGCTTTATAGCTCAGGTGGATGATTTTGATGGAGTTTTGTTCTCTGAGCTGGATGGTTTGACCGTGAAGCATAAGCTTCAGGTAGAAGTGAAGTGTTCGAATTTCTCTACATATGGTTCACAGCTTGCCCTGTAGTGCTGATGATGTCGTACAGAAGTACGATTAAAGCTCCACGGCCAAACCATACAGCTCAGGGTAAACAACTTCATCATAAACTACATGATTTTATTTATATCGGTTTTAATCTTCTCGTTTATTGATGTTAAACACTGTGATTGTGTATATTTGAATCTTTAATGAAGTACCGTTATAATATCACTAAATTGTAAGTTTCTGAGTAAAGTGGAATTGAGATAAGTGTCCTTGATTCCATCGTTAACTATAGTACAACTTTATTTAAAAATTAAATTGTGTTTTTGAATGATCATTTTAATTTTTTCAAGTTGGTTAGTAGAATGAGATTCTGTAGTTGCTCTCTATTCAACTGTTTCGGAAGTAGTTACATAAAATGCAATGCATCATCCTATAGATCATTTGTTTTCGATTTCTCATTTCTAAGTTGTTTGATTCTAATAGGTTCTAATGATC